AGGAGAGAAAAAACCTCCTTCAGCTCCCAGCATGCCCCAGCCAGTCATGCTGGCTGGGGCATGCTGGGAATCATATGATTTTTTTCATGTTTACACATGCATTGATCCTCAGTCTACTCAGAGGTATTGGGATGAACAACTGTGACTGATAATTTGGTATATAATTAGCTGAGAAGACAGAACATGTACACCAGGTGAACACAGATATAGTCTGCATGTATTTCCATGACTGGAAATTTTTACAGCAGTAATTTTGTAGATACTTAAGATCTATTCGCAGGATATATCAAAGGTCTGGTTCAACATTAGGTTCCTTGTTTAGGTGAGTATCTAGTAATTGACAGAGTGCTTGTGAGTAGGAAAAATGTGTATCAAGTTGTTGTTAACACTGTCTATACCTTTCTTCAATACAGGTATCATTAGGGTTGCATACACAATAAATTGAAATAGATATTATAATAAGATTGTAAACAGCCTATAAAAACAGGTAGCAATAAAATCAGCACAGTTTAACAGTTAAAAGACTGTGAAAATAAAAAGGGTTTTGCTTGCTGCTAAGATCACAAATTACCAGGCAAACATCCCTGAAAAGTTGTTCGATTGTGTTATTATTATTAGTTTATTATATTTGAACTGTTATGGTTACTGTGAATGTGCTACTGATATCAAAATTTTGTCCTATACTTTGTTTTAAATGACTTTATTCATTGTATCCTCTAAGAGTTTTCTCTACAAAAAGTATATAAAAACTTTAAATGCTATTCTCCCTGTTTTTCCATACTAGCATTTTATTCCAGTAAGAAAAACAGTGGAATACAGTATGCAGTGGGAAAATGTTAGAGGGATACAAATTGAAGATGCCATTTGAACCTCATGTAAAATTCTGCAATGAGACAGTGTGATTATTCAATAAAAGTTGTTGTCTGAAAGCATAAATGGGATATCATCACTGAACAGAACTTCTTTCCAGTTGCCACCTATTTCACTTCTGATAGCGGAGGAAGCTGGAAGAGGACTTCCAATTATCCTCTCAATTAGAGGCTGGCTAATGTGCAGGCAAGTGTTCCTTCTGGCATTTTAGTCCCAAGGGCTTTAAAGGTAAGCACCAGCATTGTGAACTGTATCCAAAACCACACTGGCTAAGAATGAATGAGATACAGATCCTGGGAAGAGGGTTACAGCTATATTTTAAGCTGACTGAAATTTCTGAACTATTTCTATGCCTATGGCAATTCATCACAGTAGCCTATGCTGAAGATTACCAGAGCATGGATAACCATGGCCAGGTTGCCTCTACTTAGGAGTTCCAGCAAATAGCACCCCAGCCTTGACTGGTCAAAGGCACTCTGAATCACTAATACCACTTGGGTCTCCAGTAACAATACTGAGTACATGTGGAGTTCCACATGAACTCAACTTATGAGGAGAGACAGAGGGAGCTGGGTCTTTTCAGCCCTGACAAGAAACTCAGAGGGGACCTGTTAGCAACATACAGGTACATGAGGGGGTGCCATGCATAGGTGAGTTACGACCTTTTTTTCCCCTGCAGTGGAGGGGCAATATGTGTTCCAATGGAGCAAAACTCAGGGAACCAAGATTTAGGTAGATGCCAGGAAGTACTTCCTGATGGTCAGAACCCCTAGGGTATGGGATGGGCTTCCACAGGAGGTAGTTAAAGCCCCATTAGTGAGGGTGTTCAAGGACAGGGTTGACATGCACATGGTTGCTGGCAATGCTGGCTGGAGCCAGTGGTCAGACTAGATGGTCCAGGAGGCCCCTTCTGACTCACTCTGTTTCTATGTTACTCCCCCATACCTTTTGCCAACACTTTCATGATCATTCTAGTGTGTTATATCCATTGACTGGTTCTCTTAGAGGTAGAGTAGCTAAAATCAAGTAGTTTTATTTCACAAATGAAACCAAACTGAATGAATCTTCAAACAGAGCAAAGTATTGGTTGATTGACTCTATTAAATTATCACTCAATAAATCCAGCACAAGAGAAACATAAAGTAGTCTAAGTAATAGCAGCAGCCCAATCCCTTCCTGCATAAGAAGGCGAACAGCCAGGATTTTACTGGCCTGACCAGAATGATTTTTTTCTGTCCAATAGCCAGCTGTGAAAGACACTGGAAAAATGTGAGTTTTGTGTCATTATCTTACTTTCTATAATATGCTGCTGTTGGGTTTCATTTAACAAAGTCGATAGACTGAGGAAGAAAGATGCTTCTATAGGTAATCAGAAGCAGTGAATTTACAGGAGCTAAGTGGGACTATCAAGGGCAAGTCATTTTGGACATTAATTAGTTCTTCATCAGTCAGAGAGGACTTGACATATAGCAACAATTGCTTGATTTCTTTAAAAAGCTACTCCCTGTTGGCAACAACACTACACATGTTTTGAGTTAGTGAGAGTATAGGTTCTTAAAAATAAAATCTTATACAGGTCTACTCTTCTACAGGGCTTACTTCCAGGTATGTATGTCACATACACATTAAAGAAACAAAACTACTGGCATTACTAGCTTCCCATGCCATCTGTACAGCCTTTTACTTTCCTTTCCAGGTAGGTTGGGTAAGGATTTGTGGCAGAGACTCTTACACATGCTCAGGAGTAAAAGAGCCTTTTACATATATTTATACATTTTCCTATCTACCTCAAAAGATGTTCTAAACATCCTCAAAGGCATATTGAATATATTATTTAAATATGTCATTCAGTAAAAATAAGTTTGAATGTTAAAATAATTGCATAAGAAATGTTTTTTGAGAGATCAGAACATAAAGAAACACAGTCAAGACTGCAATGTCAAGTTCCATGCAAACAGGATTTTTTCATGATCAACCATTGTAGGAAATGCTTGAAAAGTAACAGTTCCTTGACATTTTCTGTTTTCAAGGGGGTCAAATGGGTCAATTAAAAAAAAAGAAGCTTTTCAAACATTTAAACATTGAATAGATGCATTTGTATCTGTTATCAATACAATAATAATGAAAACTACTTCTAACACTTTTACAGCTAATCTTGTAAATTTCTTTTCTCAACAATTAACTAGCCTAGTCTAATCATTAGATATTTAAAAGGAAAGAAGCAATATAAATACATTCTAAAATAAATAAAATATAAGCATTACTGTTTTCTCATGTTAGTAGTCATAATCATCTAGCAGTTACATGTGGCACAACACTTTGAATTCAAGACATAGGCTGATATGCTACCCACATGCTGGCAATAGCTGTTGTGTGCAGAAATAAAAATAAGGAAATGGGTGTGCACATCTCACAGTAACCTGAGGCACCCCAATGCTTGACAGTAGCTTGAAGTTATGACTATAGGCAATTCTATGCCTGTCTTTTTCACATAGGACATTCCTTAGTGGTGCAGGTGTATGATGTGGAGTACCCCCTAACTTGAGGGGAATAATCCTCAATTCCTCACTCATTTATATTAGCTGTTACTGGTATAACAATTATTTAATTGTATTATTGTGTTTATAATCTTCCTCCCCCCCTTTTTTTCCAAGGAACCCAAGGCAGATTATGTAATCCATTTTATCCTCACAACAATCCTGTGAGGTAGGTTAGCCTGAGTTAATGATTAGCCTGAAGTCACCCAGTAAGTCTCACAGCCGGGGGGGGGGGGGGGCAGAACCATTCGCATCTAAACAACAACATGGTGCATTTTAACGTCCCACAAAAAGGTGGCCTGTAGTTGTTAAAAGCCCCTTCTCTCCGAGAGCCGCGTCAAATAGGTTAGCAACACATGGAACGACAAATAACTTTGGCCTACAACTCCCATAATCCTTTACTATTTGCTTCACCAGCTAGGGCTGATGGGAGATGTAGCGAAAAATAAAATAAAATAAACTGGGGCCGCACCTACATTTCCTTTACATGGCAGTCTGTGGTAGAGGTTAGCCAAACTGTACCCTTTGTTTTTAACAGCTGCTTCTTATCAGACTGGACGTGCATTCTGCACTTACACAGAGGTACGATCGCCCTATTCCTCTGGGAATTAAAACGTGCTTCGCCGTAATCAGCCGGAGGAGCCAGAAAGGAGCTGGCCGTGCTCCCTTGACCAGAACCGCATCGGACGCAAGCCCCCACACAGCCCACAGGAGGCGTGTCCTGCACAGCGCCTCGCCGCTTCGCGGAGGCAGGGCCGGCTTTCCCCGGCCTGAAGACCCGGCGGCACGTGCCACCTCACTCCGTGCATGGCCGCCTCCGCGGCTGGCTCCACAGTGCGCACGCGGCAGGCGGCGCCCTCCCCTTAAAGGCAGGTATCGGCTGCAGCCGTTACAGTCCCGCCCGGCCTCCCCCACCCCAAGTCCCCTAGCGGGCGGGGCAGGAGCAGCAGCGTCCGTTGAAGGTGGAAGAGAGGGAAAGGGGTGGGTTAACCCCCTCGTTCCCGCGGCGGCGTTCGCGGGTTTTTTTCTTTTTCTTTTCTTTTCTTTTTTTTTTTTTTTTTTTGCTGTTGAGGCGGTGCTGGGGGAGAGAGAGCCGGGCCGGCCAGACGCCCGGTGCATTGTGGGACTGCCTGACTGCCTGACTTGGGCTTAGCAAAGAGGAGGAGGGGAGTCCCGTTCGCGGGCGGGCGAGGAGCAAGGAAAACGGTAAGGAAGAGACGCGGGAGGGGAGGCGGCGGCGAGAGAGAGGTTTAAAGGGGAACGCGCACCCTCCTCCTCCTCTTTTCCCTTCAGCCGGGTCAGTATTTGAGTGTAGTGGCTTAGGGAAAAGTCCTCGTCCGTCTGTTTAAGGGGCGCACCGGGGAGCGGGGGAAGCTGAGAAGGATGTCATTGGGCCTCTGTAGTCCAAAGGAGCCGCTTTAAAGAGAAAAAGAAAATAAAAGAAACTGCCCGCGCCTGGCGGGGAAGGGGTTAATTTTTTCACCCGCCGACATTTTTTTTTTGCTATCGCTTGGAGGGAGGGGGCCGAGCGCGCGTGCCCGCCGCATGGAAACCTGAGCGCGAGCCGGGTCTCCTCCCGTCTGAGAAGCCGCCGAAAAGCTGCTCTGTCTGGCGCGCGCCGTTGCCCAAAATATCCCATTTGCCTTCTGTTGCTGTTCTGCGCTTTTCCGTTTGTCTTCGCCTTTAAATATGCTTCTGCTTCTTCGCATCCAGGAAAGGGTTAATCATTCTCTTCCTGATACGTTTAAACACACACACACCTGTCCTTCCCTTTTACTTGACTGATACATGTTGGTGGCGGGCGTGACGGTGGCTTTCCAAGACGATTCGTGTTTGGGCGAGAAGACGTTCACAAAGGATAGGTTTGGTTATGGAGAGAAGGCGGGAACCTTGGTTGCTGCAAAGGTTCCTGTATCCCGAAACTGATAACCCGTCTAGTCCCAGTGGCTGCCGAAGGGGAGCAGTCGTGAAGGCCCTGCTTGTCGTTAAAGGCAAATAGCTTGGAAATTTAAGGTGTCCCAGAGCCATGGCTTCCTGTAGTTCCACCCCTCTCCATCCTTCAGGGCAAAGTTGCCACCTCTGTTTCTCATATTGGCTTTAATTGTGTCCCTCATCACATGGTGAGCCTACTTGAGAGAGAGGCATCTCGGCCTACCTAAATTATTCTTGTCCATGGGTAATATTTCTTATGCCAGACCTCTAGTACAGCAGAGGTTAAATTCTCTAATTTGAGCTGATTTTGGAACGATAGAAAGCTGAACAACAGTGATCTCTTCCGGGAGTAAGACTAAGTGTTCATTTTGCAAATAGCATTTAATGCAAAACTGAAATTCTCACCCACTGTTCTCAGAGTTATGAAATAGAATAGCAGAAAATGGTTTCCAAAGTGGGAGATGAAGTATGGTATTGTAAGTTGTGAAGTTTTCGGTCTATGGGAGTCCAAGCTTCATTTTGGTGCTTTTAAAATTAGGAAATAAAGAAGGCACATGTTTGGAATTTTCTAAACTATATCCAAAGTTTACTCAAGATTCTGACCATATTATCTTCGAAAATAAGAAAGTGTGATAAGTACTTATAACTGTAGGGAACACAGAGATTGGCTTATTGCTTAAGCAGGGACTTTAGATAATTTATGAATAAGCATACCTATTTTTGGGAACAGAAGGAAAATACTTTTCAAAATAGTTCCTGATTACAAAAGTAGGAAAAAAACTTTGACTATACAGTAAATATTATGAATATGTTACCGTCAAAATTAAGCATTTCCCCAGTGCTTTCCAGTACAACTCTGCATTTACTCCACTGTGTCCAGTGATGCTTACCAGGAAAGTGTACGCTAGATTACAATCCAGCTGCTGTCCAAAAATGTGATTAACTTTGAAATGTGCTTTATATTCATTGCAGTAACAAAATACAAACTTTTAGTGTAGGTCAGTGTTGGTCACTCTGGGTAGACAAGTAAAGATCTGAGCAATAAGTAACATAAGGCTTCAGATCCTTCCCACTTAATCTCCTTCAGAAAACCTCACATAAAATTCAGTAATACTGTTAAGTTTTCTTTACAGTTACAAATTAGTAACATTCTAGCAAGCAAACTACAGGTTGAATTATTCTGTTAGGCCATATTTTTCTACTATTAAAGAAATTGTAGTGTAGATATGAAGTTAAAGAGTGCCCAGACACATTTTTGCCAAATAGTTTACAGGCATCCTTCTTTGTTTGCAAAGTATTTAGGGTACAATCCTATACTCCCTTAGCTTGAAATAATCTCTATTAACCACAGTGGGATGTTTCTCTAATGAGATGTGTATAGGATTGCACTCTTAAGGCAAGTAATGCATATCTGTATATATACTAGGAAGAAATTCTTTTAGTTTGATTTTTAGTAAATTAACATAAGTTTTTAAGAATTGGTTCTCACATTGTCAGTCACTTCCACAAATAACTGCTTATGTGAACAATTGTAACCTGGAAGCAATTGACTTACCCCTTCTGTAAACTGGAAAAATTCTGGAAGGGAACAGAAAACTTTTGTGAGCACATAATTCACTATCTATTTGAGGATTGCAGAAATTAGTAGTTGGTTTATTATTGGGACCAATCCAGAGTGTCTCGTATTTCATATTATAAATAGAAAATTACTAAAGTATGCTAGAGGAAATCTTTGTGCAGGGAGAACTTTCTGTATTTGGCTATTCAGCCAAGTAGTTTTCTAGATGGAAATGGCATCTCTGCCCACCCCATAAATAAATATATAGGAATTTTCCTGGGTTTCTCTATTTGGGGAGGCATAGCTTTTTACAAGCTCCAGTTTGTATGCTGACTGTGGCCCTGTTTGGAGCTTTCAGACCTGGACACAGCTATCCATGCTCTGGTTACCTTCAAAATAGACTTCTGTTTTACACTTCACATGTGACTGCCTCTGAAGACTGTCTGGGCATTTAAGCTAGTACAAAATGTGGCTACCCAGTGTTAGTGAAGTCCAGAAAACCTGGACATATCTCCACTCTTGGGCCAATTGTGTTGGCTAGCAATATGTTCTGACCCATTCTGGGTTTGGTTGGTTGGTTATTTATTACATTTTTATACTACCCAATAGCCTGAAGGCTTTCTTTTAACCTAATCTCAAGCCATAAAGGGCTTTAAAAATATTCTGAAGGATAGCCTTCAGTCAAACAGCCTTTCATGTATTCTAGGTTCTGCATCAAATATTTGAATGCCAAGTACTGAGAACATTAAGGCACATGATACAGAAAGGACTTTCTCAGTAGTGCCCCCTATACCTTGCTTCTTCAAGACCTGCCTAAATGTCAGCATTAAACAGCTACCTCTTACAGGCTACCTTTGATTCAATATGCTGGTGAAGTAGCTTTGTAAGATAACTCTTCTGGACATTTCTTCTTCTGTGATAACTCATAATGTGTATGCCTGTAACCTTCTGTATGTTTCTTTGGAAGGCTGTTGCTTTGGAATACCAAAGCAAGCATTCAGTGATTTTTGTCAACTGGTAATGAGACCATACATGTATTACTATCATGAAGAGAATTTAATGCAATTTTCAATCCAAATTGATTTTTATTGCCACTCCTAATCCATGTTTAGGTTGGTCTTCATTGGCATGCCATATACAACTTGCCACTGGATAGTATACTGCCAGAAGCGGCCATAGTTTTATCTCATTGCCAACTGTAACTATAGAAGTTTTAAGAAAACATTTTGAAAACAAAAATTTTGTATTAGAAAGGGTGTGGGTGTGTAGGTAATGCACAAAGATGTTGTTTTCTTTAAAAACTGTCTGAATTGAAGAAGCTGAGGTCTTGGTGAAGACCACTTTCATCATTTCTTCATCTTTTGTAATATATGGCTGCATGTAAGGTTTTTCTATAGAAAGGAAAAACAATGCTATATTGCAGAATAGCATATTATAAAAATTTTTATATAGTATGTGCCTTGAAGTTTCTTTACAAATAATTCAAAGCTATCTTAAAATTTTCTTTTTTTAAAAACTAGGCTAATTACGAGGAAAACAAATCAAAACATTTCCTAAAGAAGAGGAAACGCTGCTGGTCCGTACCGTGTGAAAATCATGTCTGTTCGGGAGTCCTTTAACCCAGAAAGTTATGAACTTGAGAAGAGTTTTCGACTAACCCGATTTACTGAACTTAAAGGCACTGGTTGTAAAGTGCCTCAGGACGTTTTGCAGAAATTGCTTGAATCTCTACAGGAAAATCACTTCCAAGAAGATGAACAGTTCTTGGGAGCCGTTATGCCAAGATTGGGTAGGTAGTAGATTTTTAAAGGAGGAATTGCCTATTAGAGAATAAGGTCTTTGGCCCAATCAACAAAGGACAAAACATGCTTAAGCCTATTGAATTCATAATGTGTATTTCAGAAAACAGTGCTGTGCAGAAAGGTCCCAAAGTGTTGTACTTTTCTGTGTATGAATACACACGACATTTTACCTCCACAAAACAGTTTGAATAAGGTCGCTTCCCTAGTCAAGAGAATGTTTAATTTATTTTGGCCCATCAGATATTGCTTAAATATTTGATACTTTGATTAATTAGATCTGTAACTTGGAGGAACTGTACTTATAGAAAATTCTCATGCTCTAAAATTCATTTACTCAGAAATGAATTTATGAAACATTATAAACTTGCAATTACATCATATACAAATGTATGGGAATAATAAGAAACCAAACAAGATCATTTTTAAAGGGAGACTATACGTGTTTAAGATTTTGACTCGATCTGCTTTATCTTGCTTATAATTCTGTTAAATTTGGTTTGTGTAAATTCTTACACATTTATGTATTTTAATTCTAATGTAACCCACCTTGGATATATGTGAGTGAAAGGTGGAAGAGAGTTCTTGAAAAATAAAATCATTTATTGGATTTTACCCTGGGTTATCTCAGACAGTTACAAAATGTATTATAAATTGTGCATAAGAATTAAAAAAGACACATCGGATGTGGTGTTGATCATACTGTAGGTCATTTGGTGCCTCCTCCTATGTCCCAGACTGCTAGAGGGCAGGGAGCAAGGATTCTTTTTTCCTGCCTTTTCTGTCCGATGAAATCATAATACAACTTCAAAAGACAAGCTGCAGTCTTCATAAGGTATTTTTTTACTTTATTGAATATTCAGCACTATTTGATTAGTCAGTTGATTCAGAAATTCCGATCTGATTTGGGAAACCATTGGAAATCATGGAAGTTGCTGGAGGCTCACAGTGGAAAAGCTTGCATGACATGACAACTCACCCTGCATATATAAACTATGCAAGGTAGGTTGTCAATGAAACAGGCTATGGTCCATCCAACAGTTGACTTGGGCCCACTGTGAGTTGATTCCATCTCCTTATTCCTCTCAGTCCTCCACCCGGGAAACTTCTTGGCTAAGGCAGTTTTATCCTTGCTATAATCATGAACCCTTTTCCTTGCTTTGGGTTTTTTCCCCTCACCCCCTTTTTTTTTTTTTTTTTGGTGAGGAGAGGATACTTTCCACAGTATCTGAGTTGATAGCCAGTGACAGCCAATCCAAGTAACAAGCTGGAGGATTTGTCCTAGCAGGTATAAGCTGTCAAAGTGCATGGACATTGACCCAGAGAGACTGCAAGAGTTCATTTTTCATTTTGCTTTCCCCTGAAAAATGTCTAAAAGGAGTTTTTTTTGCACTGGGTGAGTGGCTCACTCTTGTCTTGGAATTTAAATGGGGTTGGTTGTCTAGGTTTGGATGATATAACAAGCCATTGTGGACTGAAATCCCCTAGAACAAACCATGGATTAGTAGGATGGCTTCTTTCCCATTAACAAGCTATTATTGAGGAAGTGGTCCAGATCACAAGACTGGACAACTTATTGTGGCTTCTCACAAATGGGTTGGCATATTGTGTGAATCTAGTCAGTTTCATTTACTTTTGGCTGGTACGACAAATTCCAGGATTCATTCCCAATATGGAGAGGGAGAATAGTACTTACTCCAAAGTTGTGCTGCACTTCAGAGCTGCTCATAGCAACTGTGGAAAGTACTGCTTTTGCCACATCAAGATAGGAGATGGGCTTGTTTTGGCATTATCTTCTGGTTTCTAAATTAGTAATAAAATCTTAAGATAGATTACAAAACAAACAAAAATAACATTCACCCTAACATGCTCAAAGGGGTACAACTTGTATTTTCTGGACATTAGATTCCCATGTATTTAATTTTTTAGGACTCTTGCCATACACCCATCATGTGATCTAGTTTCAAACTGGGAACACCGGCATTTTCAGCATTTGAGATTGTAAACATTCATTGGAAGCTCATATATAAAAAGCTGATCATTTGTGTACATACACTGAGTTATAGTTGCAATTCACTGCAGCAGCAGTGGCCAGTTGGTGCCTTGTGGAACACATTTTTCCCCCCAAAATTTACTTATTTGACTCTTCTTAGCATGTTGCATCTTTTTCTTCCTTTCTCATGACAAGATGCTTAGAAAGGTGGAAAAGTGTGAGCCAGTGCTTTTGTGCAAGCATGGAGCTTTGACAACTGTTAAAGTTCAGGCTTAGGCTTTTTCCCAGCCTCTATTCTATATAAGAGTGGTGCTGGTTAGCTGAGAAAGAAATCGTATGCTGCTATGTGTTAAACCAGTACCATTCTCTTTCATTTTGCTGCTGCACGTTGTAGTTTGCTGCTACTACAAACATTGCCACCATGTACAATTTCAGATGACCAACAGGCATCTATAGTATTTGAGGTGATTAGAGCATTCATTACATTGCTTGTCTGGGTCAGGAGTACAGGCACCCCTTCTGACTGAAGGGTAACCTCATGTTAATTGTGAGAAGGCTTCTGCAATATCATAGTAGCCGCTAAACTATTTTTGTGTTGTTAAATTGAGATTCCTACTAAAGAATTGAAAAATAGTCAATGTAAGACCACTTTAAAAAAAGGATTCAGTCTCAGGTCTGTTAAACATCTTTTTTTGGTAAACGGATGAAATATTAGAGATAGAATAATCATGCATATGATAGAGTGAGTTCTTGCTGAAGAAGAATGATCATGGCTTCTACAAAGGAAATGTTTGCTTCATTAACATTTTATAGTTCTTCAAGAGTATTACCAAATATATAGATATGATTCTGTAAACATTATATACTCAAGCTAACATTTATGACAAAATTCTGCTTCAGAAGCTTCTGAGTAAATGTAGTACACATTGGGTAAGAGGACGGGTGCCCTTTGTCACTGGTGATTGGGTAAAAAACAGGAAGTAGTAAGATTAAATGGGTGGCTTTCATAACGTGGGAAATGAGAAGTGGGTTCCCCCAACAATATGTATTGAAAATAATACTTTTTAACTTGTTCATAAACTATCTGATGTTAGGGGATTGTACTCAGATGGCCACATATATCAAGAATGGTGCAAAGCAAAGAGTGGTAAAAGGATGGGGTGAACAACCAACAAAATGGCAAATACAGTTCAGTGTAAGGGCAGAATGATATGCAGTCAGACTAACAAACCTAACATTACATTAACTAATAGGATCTGAACTTCTGACAGCAAAAAAGAAAATAATCTTTATGTCACAATAGACAGCTAAACCAAGAAGAAGTTCCAGTTAGAAATTACATTTGTGTTAGGTATTATTTGGAAAGCAATCAAAAATAAGATGTACCATCTAAATATCCATCTAAGAATCTGAGATGTACACAGCTGTGTTTGTCCTATATCTTCTTATCTTTATATATTGAAAAATCCACAGAACTGGAAAGGTACAGGAAAAAAAGCAGTCAAAGTGATCAAGCTGCTGGAACACCTTTCACCAAATGAAAGGTGCAACTTTTAGTGGTTTAAAAATAAGCTACTGATACAGATTTATAACACTACATTTGGTGTGCAGAAAATGAATGGATTTCTGATACTAGTATTTAGAATCATCAAAGGAACTGATCAGTGGCCGACTCAAGACAGAAAATATTTCTTGATGCAGTTTATGAAACTCACTGCCAAATGATGTGATGATAACTCATTCAGATGACTAAAAGGAGATTAAATAGAAAATAGTTCTCTCACTGCATTCTGAGGAAGTATACTGCAGATTACCAGTTGCTGGGGAGCAACTGCAGAAGAGAGCAATTGCCTTCAGGGCTTTGCTTATGGACTTCCTTGAACCATCTGGTTAGCCACTGTACAACAGCGTGCTGGACTAGAGGAACCTTTGGTCTGATTGAACACAGATTTTTTCTTATTTTATCTTTGTTTTTCCTCTGTTTGGACAGGAGCTGGTGAGGTACATTCAAAACTGGCTATGTAAAAGAGCAGCATTGCTACCAAATATTATTTCATAATGCTCAGCATTCCTATCAGTGTGATAATGAGATGGAACTCAAGAGACTTTTATATTACTGCAGATACATATCCTGGCTAGAAAGGTCTTGACTTTGAGCAGCTTAACCTCGGAAGATCCAGACTTGCAGGTTGACGTTGAATGGTGCTGACTATTCCTTGGTCTGATAATGACATAAGTACAGATGTAGAGATGATTATTCCCTCCCTGCTCCACCAATTTGCAGTGGTAGGATTGGCTCAGGTATTTTGATGCCATGCTCATAATGGGGTGAGAATGCCCCTGTACAAATATAGTATGTTTCACAGATCTTATCAGCAGATATATTATTGTTTGTATATCTGTATTATATCTGTATTTTGCCTTCCATTTATCATGAAATTCAATGTGGTGCATACATACAGTTCCCACATAGTGTGGTGATTCTATATAGCACTCACCGACTTCAGCTAGGTTGATCTATTATATGCCTTCAGGTCAAAAGCCTGGCCAATGTAAGGACATCCCCAATTATGTGGTGCAGGGGCAATTTATGCTATAGTCAGCAGTAGAGAATCTGGACATAACTTACTGATTAGTCCTTTATTCTGCCCCATAGAATACATCCTCTGTTCCATTAGGATTAAAATGCAATGCTTAAAATGAAAGAAATTGGCTCAATAAGCTATCAATCACTTTTATCATTGTATATACAGTCTTGTGTTTATACATTCAGAAATTAATCTTGTTTCTTGCCCTCTTTATGTTTTGTCATCTTGTCATTACAGCCTTGGACTTCAGTTGCTCATTGCTTCTTCCTAGAATAGCCTGTGCCTCCTTCCACAAGTTATTAAATCTTACTGAACCTGAAATGTAGACATTTACGACATGTACAATTTTGTCTGAATAGAAACAATTTAAGAACATGAAAAGGGTCCTGTTGGATCAGACCAAAGTCCTGCCTATTTCAGTAGTTTGTTTCCGCAGTGGCCAAACAGATGTCTACAAGCAGGAAATGAGTATAGCAGCATACTCCTGCTCTTGTTCCTGACAGCTAGTTTTGAGAGGCATGTTGTCTCTAATGTTGGAGATAATATTGGAGCTATTGATAGTTTTCTTCTCCATGAATACATCAAATCCCCTTTTAAATCTGCCCAAATCACTACATAGATCAACTATATGCTATGCAAAGAAATATTTCCTTTTTTTGTTCTGAATAGGCTTCTATGTTTATGTTTCATTAAATGATGCTAGGGTCTGTATATTATTGAAAGAGGGAGAAAACTTTCTTCCTTTAAAAAAACAAAACAAAACATCATAAATAGTTGTATACACTTTTATCATGTCCCTATTTCCTCAAAGGGGAGTTCCTTGTTTGAGGCATTTAACTTGTTGAAATTATATCCATTCTCCCTTACCTTTGGTTCTAGATAGGAATATAATAAGCAAAAATAGACATAAAATTATAGTTTCTTCAGCCAGTCACCTGCTTGTCTGTTCAACTTGAAAGACCTTTCATTATTTCCAAAATACGTTCAAGACAGGGATGTGCTTAGTTTTCATGGAAACTGATACATGATTACTAGTGGTTATTGTTTCTTAGTGGATTTACCACTGGCCTCAGTGTTCAGTAATGCAGACAGGACATTACAGCTTAGGTGAGGTCTGGTTGACATTTTTGTTCTCTTTTGCCTTTGTTTCCACTGAGAGAGTCAGCAGCTGGTGTTATTTGATGTCAAGTTAATTTTTTCCAGGCATTTAGCAGCACCTTATGGATTGGTTTTGCTATACTTCTACTGATTCATTTGTGGTAGTTACTGTGAACTCCTGTTTAAATTAATGGGGGCGTCAGCTGCCTTGGAGGCCATAAGCTTGAAAAGGGCTAAAAGATGATAGGTATAAAAGGAGTTCATAAATGTGTACATAAACCTTTTTGTGTATTGTTCAAAGGCAAACAGTATCTGGATCATAAACAAATAAATAAACAAACCTACCTGACAGTTTTTAAGCTGAGCAGTTCTTGTGGGGATTGTCTCAGAAGGTGAAAGCACCTTAAAACTTCTTTTAAGGAAGAGCAAGATTGAATTGATTGGACCATACTGATCAGACACTGGAGGCCCTGGGACCATATCCTGTTTTCCCAAGCTATTAGCTGGCGTTTAAACATGAAATGTGCAGACAGGCTGTGGTAAAGGCTTTTCCTGACAATTTTCTTTGTGGATAAAAAAGGGGGATCTGGTACACTGCCCTCTATTACCTCAAGTGCCCTCCCATATAAAAGTAGCTATTTTTAAAGAGCCCAGTAAATACATTATGAAATAGTGATCTAATTTGATCTTGAAGTTCTTGATGATATTCGTATGTGCAAGCTCTGCAGGAGCTGTCAATTGAATTGTAGTCAAGAAAGCATCAGAACAGCTATGTAATTTGTTCCAAACAATTAAATTTTATCAAGGGATAATTTTCTGATACCTGAATGGCATTCAGGTATAATTTCACATGGAGGGTTTTGGGTTTTTTGTTTTTGAGCCTAGAAAGTAAAAAATGGTATGAATGACCAGACTCCATGCCCTATCTGTCAAGTTGATAGTACAAGGGGAAAGTCAAACTTTTCACTGTTCTGAAATTGTTAAAAAGTATTCCTGGATACTGCAGTGAATGGATGGCCTGGCAATACTTGTAAGGCTGTATATAGCAGTATGAGTAGGAGGGAGAAACTTGTAAACTGCAACTGTCTGATGTGCAGACCTGCTTAAGGTTTGAGGTTGCTGCACTGGTGTTGATTGTATAAAAACTGACCTGTCCTTCTAAACCTGTGTAATACCTTACCAAGCTGCTACTTTGTGTCCATCATTATCATTATTAGTATTATTGTTTTATGTTTATTTCCAGTGTTGGGACTCAAGGTGGCCACAACATTAAAAACTTACACAATTAAAATTTATAGAAATATACAAAAATATACAAATTTACAACTAAATCAGAAAAGTATAAAATTATCAAATTATAATTAAAATTACAACTAGTAAAGAACTAGGTCAATATAATATCATAGGCTCAAACGATTCCCAAATCCCTTCTGAAACAAGTTTTTGCCTGCCTTCAGAAATGTAACAAAGAGGGCACCAACCTAGCCTTGGGACAGCCAATGAGAAGCTATTCTTGCAGGAGGAGAATACAGTCTTTCAGATAGCCTGGACTTGACCCATACAGGGCTTTACACACCATAGTCAGTACTTTGAATTGAACAAACTGGGAGCCAGTGACACTGTTTCAATAAAGGAAGTGTATGCTCCCTGTAGCTGCCCCAGTCAGCAGTCTGGCAGGAGTTCTCTGAACCAGCCAAAGGCTGGAGTTTCTAAACACTCTTCAAGGCCAGTCCCATGTAAAGCATGTTACAGTAACTGAAACAGGATGTAACTAAGGTATGTGTCACCATGGCCAAGTCAGACAGCTCCAGTAATGGGCACAGCTGGTACACTAGTTTTAACTGGGTAAAAGCACTTCTGGTCATTGCTGAAATGTGGGCATTCACACTCAGGGTTGAGTCCAGCAACACATCCAAGCTGTAAGCCTGTATTTGGATTTCCTTTGATACAGAAGGGATATTTGTAGTGAGAAAGGTACACATTTGAATATGTGCTGTCTTTGCAGGAATTGGAATGGATACTTGTGTTATTCCTTTAAGACATGGAGGCCTATCTTTGGTCCAGACAACTGATTACATTTATCCCATTGTGGATGATCCTTATATGATGGTAAGTTGGCTAAAGACTTCTGTCACATTCTTTCTGGTGAGATGAGTGAGTAGGAGAGGTGACTACTGACTGCCTTTAGTGTGATTCACGTATGTTGATTTAAAATCAACAACTAGAATTTCTTAGTTGTGATTGGAGGTCCCAGTCCAACTGTCAGCAGCCAGTTTTTTCCCCAGTCAGAAACAGAAATCTAGACTTAGTCTTGGATAGATAAAATTCTATGGTATCCAAATCATTCTTAGCCTCTTAACTAAATACCTGAAGTCCTTAGGTAAGAAATTTTTAATATTGCTCAACTTATCATTGCAAACATAATCTGAGCAACAAGTATGAAATCTACAGTGCCCCATCAAAAGGATCAGTATGTACATATGAAACATAATGGGAGGTACATTTTGATGATCTTTGTGCTGCTGCACTTCCTCCTGCTGAAAAAATACTTTATTTATTTATTTATTTATTAAAACATTTTTATGCCGCCCCATTCACCAAAGCCTCAGGGCGGCTTACAACAATAAGTTAGGTCATCATAAGTAAAAATTAAAATATATACATTAAAATAAAATACAACTATACAATATAAAATAAGCTGCCCTGGCCAGATAAAATTCAATAATATTAACATTTAAAATGCTGCTAAATACTTCAAAGAATGAGGACCAGTATATCTCACTGATAGTGAGAACTGCTGGATGCTCACACTGAATGAAGATCTCATTATATGTGAAGTTGTGTTGTGCATGCCTTTTGCTTCTCTATTACATAGAACATTTCTTAGATTCTGTACTGTTGTGTGAGGACTTGGTTTTCAACAAATGTATGTACCTAGGAAATGATCAATAGCTAATTAGTTATTTGACTAAATAGTTTATGCGCAGTTATCCCTGGGACAACTTTCAAGAAGTTGTTTGACAGATAATGTCATAAAGCCATGTTTAAAATAATCAGCCACTTTCACTTAACTGTGAAATGTTGGCATTTGTTGAAAACCTCAGCTTTTTCAGACCTGTGTACTATATCTCCATTTCAGATCAAAAAGTTTGATCTGAACTTGGCTGTTTGTGGCAGCCAAGGCAAATCATGCACCAAAATAAGTATAAAAATAAGCAGTATCAAAATTAAGAATTGAAACAAAACAATTCTAACTGGAGGAAACTGAACCACAAAATCTCAGTTGGAATTCTGCTTAGGATGTGATGCTACATGTTTTATAGAGTTCTGGACACCATTGAAAAATACTTTTAATGCAGTTGTATTAAAAAGGCTTTTGGGAGCTATTCATTCTGAAAGAAGAGAAATCAGTTACCTTAGGCTAGGATTAGACATGGACAAGCCAAATAAAGATCTGGGCAAATAACTAGGCACATATTGATCGAGCATCTTTAAAGCATTAACTTAACAAAAGCATCAACTAGCCCTTAGTCACTGAGACCATCAGAAGGGTTGCTTCTGGTGGTTCTGCAGCAACCTATGGTCCAGCTGGCATCTACCCAGAGTAGGATTAGGTGACTTCCTTTCCATGAAACTCCCTGCCTCTGGAATGCAGAAAGGCATCGCTATTGTATTGTTTTTGGTGTCTGCTGAAGACAGCTTTATTTCAAGAAGCCTTCCTTGATTCACATAAAAAATTAATTCACATAAAACAGGTTTTTAAACATTGTTTAGATCCTTTGCTTGTACAAAGTGAAGCCAGAGGAAAGAGTGCAATACCTTGTCATGCAGTAAGTTGGTTGCTGTTTGGATCATGCCATATGTGGATCCAAAAGTCTGTAGTTAAGCCTGTAATGCAAAGTATTGCCATGTTCTCTTCAAAATGCACCTTAAGTTAATTGGAGCAATATTCCCGCCTTTTCTGTTTTTTACTAGCCATGTGCCCTGTCCACAGTGTTAACATATACATTAGTATGCTACTTGAGTAGTGGCTAACCACTTCTTTTACTGATGTTACATTGTAAAACATAATGTACATTAATAGTGCTCCATAAATAATAATTCAAAAAGTTCTTTGCTTTTTCTTTTCAGGGACGTATAGCTTGTGCCAATGTTCTTAGTGATCTTTATGCCATGGGCGTCACTGAATGTGACAACATGTTAATGCTTCTTGGGATCAGTAATAAAATGACTGACCGGGTAAGTTCTTTAAATAAAAACTGTATTTATTTCTTTACAGAAACCACTTGTGCTAATGTGTTATCTAGTGCTCCTGTAAATTGCTTGAATTGCATAGTGAATAATATAAATTGTACTTCAAGCACCTACAAGATAATCCTGTCTTTGCCATTTAATGTCTACCTTCATCCTTTAGATCCACAGACTATTATCCTTGGTGTGAAATCTTTTCAGCTTCTGGTGTGTTTGCATGTTCAAGAAGAATTATGGATCAGAATAGTTGGAGGAGAGAGAGCAAAACCATTCAAGACTGGGGGCCTACTAACATTCATTGTAGAACTGGCGATTAAGTAAATGATAGGGTTTTTTTTAATTCTGTTGGTTCCATAGAGAAATATAGTGATCCATTATAGCTAAAGCTGATCTAAAATAAGAGACTGATTTTCAGTCCTTTTCAGTTATTTTAGGCTGTGTGCATAAAAAGGCTTGAAATAATTGTGGAAGGGAAAGAGAACATTTGGTTCATGGACTGAGGCTGTCACTGCTTTAATTTCTCATAATGTATGCTGAGACAAGAGGCAGAGGGCCAGAAAGTGACTTACTATTAGCTTAGAACTTTTCCCTCTTTTGTTAATGTGTGTGAGCCTAGGTTGATGGCTTTTCTAGATCCTAGTACAGTCTTCCCCTTTGGTACAATTTTGTATGTTAGGAGCAGGTTTTGCTTCTATTGATATGATTATTGTGGCTTAGTTAGCCAAGACCATTTGAACAGTTGCTTGACAATATTTAGGAAGCTTTTACTGACCAATCCAGAACATAAGTGGCTATACCCTTTCAGGTGATTGGGAATAACTTTCTTACACAACACTTTTATGTGTTTATAATAGTAAATTATAGTACTATATTTATATAGTAAATTAGCATTTCAAGCAACCCATAGCTTCTGTTTACTTTCATAGATACGGGCTGTTTTCTTGCCCAACTTTTGTTTTGTAGTTACAAATCACTATTGGAATGCTGTAACTGTTTGAGAGGGGCATTTCTTTCATGGTATAATTTGTACAATACACAGCAGTCTTTTGTTTCTCCTGCAATAACCTGCTGTGTAAAAAGTAAGGTGTACTAAATCTGTTGCAGTGCCACTCTTCTGTATGCAGGAGTCATTCCATTTTCTGAAGGAGTCTAAATACAATGGAGGGTTGCACTTACTAAGATGAGGGAGGGTCATGGAGGGTACCTCTCACTTTGGAGAAAATGTTTGGAAGTGGCAGGAGCATTAAAGTGAAATTGCATTCCTCCTTCCATTTGTGAGAGTAGAAGCACCAGTTCCATGAGTGCAATCTCCAAATTTCTGAATCTGGTCCCAACTTTAAAGCTTTTCTGACCTTAAAGAAAGCATATATTTGGATTCATTAAATTGTTCCTAAGTGTCTTGTTCATCCCATGATGCTGTGTCTTGTATATCTATGTTATCACCACCCTGAAACACTGTAAAGGGTGGGGATACAAAATTTTTAAATAAATTAATTTTGGTTTCTGTTGGCTCATAATCTTGTTGGTCTGGGATGGCGTACATGCTGTAAATAAAGAGAATGCTGATTTGTACTTTGTTAAAAAAAGAATTGACTAGGCACAGAAATTTTCTACTTGTTATTGTTTTGATCTATAGGAAAGGGATAAAGTAATGCCTCTAATTATCCAAGGATTCAAAGATGCTGCAGAAGAGGCAGGAACATCAGTGACTGGTGGTCAAACAGTGTTAAACCCATGGATTGTTTTAGGAGGAGTAGCCACAACAGTTTGTCAGCCCAATGAATTTATTATGTGAGTTGATTTATTTAACCCTATCCAAAAGGTACTGAACAAGGTGTAGCTAGTTCTAAAACTCTGGATTTTATTTTTATTTAATGTTTGTGGTGATGTTAAATGCTTGATTGTGACTTTGAGTCCTTGGTGTTTAACAGTATCTTTCTGACTGCACAATCCTAGAGATAAGTTCCACTGGGTTCTAGGGGGGCTTACACCCTAGTGTGTTTAGGATTGCAGTTTCAGAAACCTTTCAATTGGAGCCTGCACCTTAATACAAAGAAATATACATCAAGAAAGGTAAAGTTCTGTTTTTAAGAACTAAAGTAGAAATGTTGGTGCTAAATCCTAAATATGAATACTAACTGATTGTGTCAGTTATTAATTTATAGGAAAAGGGCCTGGAATAATATGCCTAATTGATACTTTGGAAACCTTATTAATAAAAAACTTAACAGTTGCCACTATAGTCTGCATTTTGACTGTCGGTTAACTTGTACTATTTGTTAATGGGCACTAAAAAGGAAAGCATTGCCTTCCATTCATCTTTGGATTACAGCATGGCTATAATCAATTATTTCAGAAGTGAGTTATCAGACATTTGAAAATCTGCCTACTTTTTGTGTCCATAGCAAAAAGAGAAATATATTATGCTATGATCCTAAGTTTTTTATGTAGAAGTAAAACTTACTGGATAAGTTTGCATGTGTCACTAAGCCATCCTGAGATCAAGCCTCCATGGGTTGGTTGTTCTTTGAAAAATCTATAATTGAGAACTCCCTCTACTGCCTATTAACTACATGACTGTCAAATCTACAAGATGCAAAGCAAAATTTCAGAATCTGATATTCCATATGGAAGGAAACTTCTCACCTGCCCTCATCAGTACCTCTTATCTGAGTGATTTTAATCTTGCCAACCACTTTTTCCCTACTAGTTTGTGCAAATTTGACTGGTACCTTTATTTTATTTTTTGATCCTTCCAGTTCATGTATATATTCATACTTGTTTGGTCCTTCTCAAGTGCCCACATATGCAGGACTGTTTACATTCTTAAGTTGTACCACTACAGCAGCAGTCAGTACAGTATGCAGTTACACTGCTATCTTCCTGTACATGTCTGGACATGCCACTTGTCAAATTCTTCCTCTCATAGCATGTTGAAACACCATCTGCCAAATTCCTCAGCTTCAGTACTTGCCTTGACATTGAACTCAAAGGGATGGTTGAACAAGATGGGAGATTCTGCTGTAGGTCTGTAGGAGCATGTGAGCTTATATCAGCTGTGACAATTTAAAAAGCAATGAAGAGTATGAATAATATAGGAAACTGCCTCTTCCTGTGAACAGAATTGCAGGACCAAAGGGGTGGGAGAAAAAGCCCCAATCCATTTATGTGATTTAAAGGACCCCCGAATTTTAAAAGAGTTTTTAACATGATAGAAACATTGCCAAGTGTCAGTGTGGTATCACGTGAAGGGTTAGCATTAACAACAGTGAAGGATGGTGAGACTGAGGAGCAGCTGCCAGTTTGTTTGTTTTTTGCCATACTTGCCAGTTGGTTCTTACTTTTTTGAGCAATCTACACTTAAGCAAATTTGCTGAGTTCAGGCATCATACCAAGCCACCATGAGCACAAACCATCTACAAGAACCCTATTATAAGCTATGGGTACTCAGGCTGCCTTGTTTTCTGAATAAAAATGCTCACAGTGGTACTGTGCTCAGATGGCATGCTAAGCCACCATGCATTCACCCATAGTGTAACAACCCAATGTAGATTCACATAACATACAAACCAGGCATTGAAAGCAGTACACATATTAGCAGCTATATGCACATACATTAATTACTTTATGCTGCTTAAATGCATTTCACAGGCTGATTTTAAAATCTTTTTTTAAAGGTGTAATCTTTGAATATATTATGTGGAAGGGCAAATGGAAAATAATCTGCATATGTGCCAGGTTGCTGACAGGGACGGGGCGTTATGCTCACATGACTCCAGTCCTCCGTCAGCTTCACTGGCTTCCCATTGAAGCCCGGGCCCAATTCAAGGTGTTGATTATGACCTATAAAGCCCTAAACGGCTTGGGTCCTGGCTACCTGAACGAGCGCTTATGTCCGTATATGCCCGACCGCCCTTTGAGATCTGCGGGAGAGTCCCTTCTCCGGAAACCCTCCATGAAAGAAATTAGGAGAGTA